TTGTATGGTAAGGAACATAAATACAAAGAAATACAAAAAACGTACAATACAAAAATGATATAATAAAAAGTAAAATATGGACTGACATAATTGTTGTGTAAATCCACTCGTACACATGCCTCATGAATCATCTCTGTTTTTAAATGTTCTCAAATTTAGTAGTAAGGTGTAATCTTGGTGTATTTTACTATTCACTGGTAGAATGGTTGTTAGTGTCAGACCAACAGCTAATTGGTCATACATGGAAATCCTACCTGATCAAAAATTAATTTGCTGTCATGTGTGACATCCAGGAATCACAAATTTAATTTTAGTAGTAAAATTTGGCACTGTTTTTAATATCAGGATTATGAAATTGACACAGATAACAACAATATTTCATAAATAATATATTATATTATATTATATTATATTATATTATATTATATTATATTATATTATATTATATTATATTATATTATATTATATTATATTATATTATATTATATTATATTATATTATATTATATTATATTATATATAATATATATCAATCATTGGTAACGTGGTGAATGTTGTATATGCCCAGAGATTAAAACTAAAACCTTAGGGGGGAAATTATATCACACGTCATTGTATTCAACAGGATCTGGTTGATGTTAGATGCAAGCTACAATTTATATGTAAATATTCAAGTCTTTGGAATAAAATTTAATGAGATGTACATAAATAGCAAGCTATGAATATGGCTGATGGCTATATCACAGTCAATACACAGTGAAATGCAGAAATGTGTACTTTAGTTTATTAACATATTTATAAACAAATTGTAAATACCAACCATCAGCTTTTATTCAAATTCAAATATTTAATAGTGATTTGCTCAAGTACAAGCTCTGATTAGGCGTTTGTTAATTGGATAATGTTGAACTAACTGATTAATATTAATTACAACTAAAGATGATGTAACAGTACAATTTATAACAACAGGTTTTTGTGATGTCAAACTATGTGATATGCATTGTTTATCTGTCCTGTGTTATGTGACACTGTGGAGATATGCATGGAGACTCACATGATATTTGAGTTAAGCTCACTATATGCATATCTGCAGATGCTTTTGTAATTGAGTTTTCAAAGCAAGGAAGGCATCACCTGCACAAATGGCAATAGTATGTCATTGTTCACAAACAAGTGTCTGCCCATTAGCGCATTGTGAAATTCCGTTCGCTTTAAGTATTTTAGAATGTCGTCAGGTTACACTGAGTCCAAGCTAGCGAACTTTGATCATATAGTTGCGTTTTAGTAAGATTGTCAAGATAGAAAATAATTTAGTGACTGATCAGTAAGCAACATCCCTTACGATTGAACCTACGGGCAATATATGTGGTTTAGGAACCAAGCTATTTCATATATGTGGTTTAGGAACCAAGCTATTTCATATATTCATGATATATTTAAGAGAAGAAAAAAAGAACAAGATTTTATAAATAAATGTACCAAAATTAATCGTCAACAATCTTGTCTGGTATGGGCCAGGTATTTCAAAACGCATTCGCAAATTCACACAAGATTAAAAAAAAAAAAAAAAAACTTCTAGAAAGCTAAACAATGTATTATTATGACTGATGTATAAGTTGAGTTTTAAAAAATACGAGAATCCCCTAAACATGAAGCTTTTTCATTTTTTTTACAATAAATCTCTTAATATTGAACATCGCTTACACGTGGCGTGCAAATTCCATTCCAGGACAGGGCGGCATGTGGAATTGATTTGTTATAGATAAGTCTTGGTAGTCCAGACATCGTGAAATTCCAGTTCTAGATCCAGATACGTGTATGTGTTTTATTTACCGGTCTATCAGCGGGGCGTCAAACGACAACCGCCATCACAGAACATTGACCTCTGTATTTAAACCTCTCAACTCTGTAGCTATTTTGTCAAACAATAATAACAATTTGTTTTAATTTCTGATGTATTTGCCCTTATAATCGCTATACAATATATTCTATACCAAGTAAGCAATAATTGGAAGAGTTCAAATTCTGTACGTTTTCTTGAAAATGTTAATATGCTTGAAATTCTATTTCAGCTGAGCTCCGTGGTACTGTGCTGAACGTTAAGTTAGGGGGTTTAGTGGAAAGGTCGGCGCGAAAACCAATATGGCGTCGTGTAACTCGGGAAAGCTAAATTACACGATTACAAAATGGTCAAGTTATTCAGCTAATTATTTACCAGAGTGAGTATACCTATGCTAAGTGTTGTTTTTAGTTGCAGACCATGGCACCGAGATATTGTGTTATCATTTTTTTGTTTTAGATTTTACTTAAAGTTTACTTTGTCTTTTCTTTGTGTGACGTTTATCGTTTGATTGGTATTTTGAGCTGACGGCTGATATTCGTCGTGAATCGCCATTTCCCTTCTAATATATATCAATTCAAAGTGGGTCATCGGATCGGATGTAATATATGGTACAATTGAAGCTATAATCCTCATTAAAATACATGTATTACCTAAAATAACAGTCGTACTTGTACCCGCGCGTGTTTATGACCGAATGTCGCCCTCGTGCGATTAAATCATTAAAAATTTTGGAATAGGAAATTTTATTTAACATTTACTGTTAAATCGTTTATTTTCATTGGTATAATTGATTTGCCAATGATACAATAAGATATATTTTATTTTAATTATTCAACAAGGATTTAATTTATCACAACCAGGAAAACATGATCCATATTATATATATATATATATATATTAATATACTGTTTTATGTAGGTATGATTGTTAATATACCTTACCTATGAGTCAGGTAATTTTTCAAAATTTATTAAATATGTTTAAGATGAATTAGTAAAATTTACATTACCGGTATGATGTATATGGTATTGGAAA